TGAGATATCCCAGACATTTGTATTAGAAATGAGCTGGCATATAATGGACTATTTAATGAGTAATGCTTTTCATATGGAAAGATAATTAGACTCCTACCTTACACCACATGCAAAGATCAATTTCAGGTGGATTAAAAATAAAATGAGATAAGTCAGACAGAGAAAGACAAATAGTGTATGATCTCACCTATATGTGAAATCTTAAAAATAAAAATAGATACAGAGAACAGATTGCTGTTTGTCAGAGGCAAAGGGTGGGGGATGGTCTGAAATGAGTGAAGGTAGTCAGAAAGTACAAACTCCCAGTTATAAGTCCTGGGGATACAATATACAGTGACTATAATTAAGAATTACTGTATTGTTGTTCGAAAGGTGCTAAGAGAGTAGATCTTAAAAGTTCTCATCACAATAAAAATAATTTGTAACTATGTTGTGATGGATGATAACTAAACTGATTGTGATGATCATTTTGTAATATATACATATGTCAAATTATTATGTTGTACACTTAAAACTAATATAATATTATATGTTGATTATATCTCAAAAAGAAGATTGAATGTGAAAAACACATTCCTAAGACTTGTAGGAAAAAATACGGGCAACTATTGAGTTTGAGTACGATTTCTTAATTTTATTTGAAAATCGTCAGCTGAAAAGGAAAACATTGATTAATCTGACTCCACAAAAATTTAAAACATTTATACTACAAAAGTCAAAATAAACAAAGCAAAAGGATAAGCTACAAGTAGGGAGACGATATGAGCAGAAAATATGACAAAGATTCTGTATCTAAAATTTATAAAGAGCCAGTAATCTACTCCTAGGTATGTAATAGAGAAATTCTCAAATACTAGTACAAGGTAAAAGGTAGAAAAGTGTTCACTGAAATATTTTTAATTCTTAGTTATTATAAACAACTGAGATAGTCCATTCATTAAGATAGTGGGTAAGTGAAACTCAGTTTACTAAACACTGGAACACAATATAGCAGTTAAAATAAATGAATTTAAGTCTCCATTATTAATAGAGATAATATAAAAAAATTAATGTCAAATACAAAAAAGTAAGTTTTGAGAAGACATACACAAAAATGGTGATATTTTTTAATGTGCAAAATACTCTTAAATATATTTTGGATACCTTTAGTTACATCCACTTCTGTAGTAAAAGCCTAAAAGCATACATGAAAATGAACTCCAAACTCAGGATAGTGGTTATCTTTAATGTGAGAAGTTAAACAAGATCAAAGAGAGATACTCAAGGATTCTCAATTATAATATTTTATTTCCTAAAAATCAAACAAAAAGCAAAAGATCAGTAGTAGGTATAACAAGTGCTCAATATCACAAGTCTGTGTGGTAGGCATTTGGACACGTATAGTATTCTCTACTCTCTTACGTACGTTTAAAATATTCTCTAATTATTAGTAACTTGGAAGGGGAGGTTCAATGACCAAACTCCCTTCCCCAGAGAATCATGGTTCCTTCCATCCCATACACCCCAAGGCTGAGTTTGTAGTACAATTGGTAGAGAGCATCATGCTGCAAATGGGCAGGCTGTACAACTAACCACTGTGGTATCATGTTGTTTCTTTGGAAAAATGACTTCTGAGTTCCAAATGACATGGTTTCTGAGTCATCATCAGAACATAAAATATTGTTTGGTGTTGTTTTGTAACAGATATTATCAGTCCCAAAAATCAAACAGCTCAGTTAAGTTGTAGATTTACTGGACCTTTTCTCTATCCACTTGGACTGAATAAGTCAAATAAGCTCATCAGAATAAGTCACTGAACCCGAAAATATCCCAGCAATGCTTTCTATTATTCTGCACAGTAGAATTTTCTGAGCCTCTATTTTTCATGTTAAAAAGCAAGTATATTATTACTGCTGATAAAGATTCCCTTTTGAGTTAGAAAATCAGCAACGTTTCCTTCTTTTGGTCAGGTGTCCTCAGATTGGATTGTTCATAAATTTATTAGTTTCTCTTTTTGTCACTTAACGATTCAGCTTCAGTGGTGGAGGTTTGGTAGTAAGTGGACTTCCTCATAATTAGAAAACAATCTTATGATAGGATAAAGCTTGAAATTGCTCTTTTTGTGCAACGAGCAGGTCTTTGTAAGATTAACTCAATTCCCACAGCCGTAACTGGCAGCCGAATTGTCAGAGCAGTTTGGTGACTGGAATGAACTTTTCCTACAGGAATCATGTAGCCATACAGCTGCGGAAACACAAATTCACTCCCCCGTTGTCGGTTTTCTGACAGCTTTCTCTGCAGAGCAGTTTGAAAGAGTGGAGAAACCTGTTACTGAGACAGAGAAGTGTTTTCCCACCTGAAGTGTAATTTCACACCTTGTGTTTCTCAGCAGATAAGTGCATAAAATAACACATCAAACTGGAATAGAAAAAGATCAACATAGAAAGAAAACTGCAGATTGTAATTTGTTTCCTATCTTACAATGCTCTGGTAGAGAACAGTAAATTACAGAGATCTGGGTTTACACTTTTAAAAAGTTGACTGGCTGTTAGGTGGGAAAATGAGCAGTAAACGCTAATCAGCTTTCAGACTGCATTGAATAGAATGTACAGAATGATACAATTGTGGAAACACCTGAACATTTAGATTTAAAGAAAAAAAATAGAACACACATAGGTGAGCGGTAAAATTTGTAGTTAAGAAAAACATCCAAAAAATCGATTTTTTTTGTTCCATATATATCATTAAAAACATGATGCTGATAAAAATATAATTGTCTTAGGAGGTAATGTTTTTGTGTAATGACCCATTTGGGAATTTTAGGGAAAAAGGTAGACTATGTCAGTAATTTGGACTTTTTTTCTTTTCTATAAATGACTAAAAATACTATGCTAGCCACCATTTTATAGCATTCTAATATAGGAGTTATAAAACAAGACGTTTGGCTTTATTTTGCCTGTTTGAAAACTTGACACAAAAAGAGAAAAGAAAGTTGAGCTTCCTGACTAATCACGAACAGTCATTACAAAATATTTAATATTTATTGAATGTCTATGACATGTTAGACCCTGGGACAGGCATTGGGGTATAACGGTAAACAAGGCAATCCTTCTTTCTACCATTGGGGAACTGACAGTCTTGCAGACAAGTAAACAGGCAGTGATCATATTGGGTGATAAAGTGCTAAGATAGGCTATAATTTGATTTTGACGAAGCCCACAAGAAGGTTATCTGAACCAGGCTTGGTGGGGAGGGGAAAGTGGTCAGCAAAGATTCCTAGATGAAGTGAGGTGTCAGGGCATGTACAATTTTTGCAGAAGTGAAAGGAAAAGAGAGCATGTAGGGTTGGAGGGATGAAGGTAAATTCAATACAGTTGGATTGCAAAGATTAAAGGCACAGTGATATGTAAGACTAGAAGTAACAGGGCCTGAGTTCATAGTCTATACCAAGAAATTTAGTTTTGTCCTGAGACTAGTGGAAAGTATTAAAGGTTTCATTTTCGCTTTTTCATGAGAGTGACATGACCACATATGCATTTTACAAAGGTCCCTCTGACTAGGGGATTGGTCAATCCAGTGACTGGAGTCCGGTGAGGAAAGATGTAATAATGCAGGTGAGAGATGCTGGTGATCTGAGCGTATGATATATACTGAGAGTTCAGTGGCATTGGGGAAGGAAAGAAATGGGTGGATTTGGGAGCTATTCAGGAGGTAGAACCAATGAAACTTAGTGATTGATTTGCTGGACTAGGGTGTGAGAGCTAGTCTTGTCAAAAATGTAGTCCTGATTTCTGATTTGGATCATTGAGTGGATAATGCTAGCTAGCATTCACAGAGACGGAGAACACTGACTGGAGCAGCAAGTTTTTATAAGTTGGGGAAATGGTGAGTGTGAGATGTGTTTGAGATACCTACGAGAAGAAAGGTGGTATTCTGTTGGATCTTAAACTTGGGAGAGAAGTCTAGGTCAGAGACACAGATTTGGTAGTTATTATTGAAACCAGATTTGGCAGATGTCATTGACTAGATGAGAATATGTAGAGAGTAAGAAGAGACTCTTTAACTCAGGCATCAAACAGTACTTTCACTATGAAAAATACACATAAAGCAAAATGTATACATTTATCTTGTTACATAAATAATATGTGGAAGAAGAACCGGCCATGTCCACAAACATCATTGCACATATGCCTATGCATGAATTCACTCCGGTACAGGTAGAGCTTCTAATGACCATCGGCAAGGTGCCTGATAGTGGGCTGCATGAGATGTTATGCATTCAAGGTAATAATCCCTTTCCTTAATAATTTGTGTAAGGTGTGTTAGTCCCACAGCAAGTACCAGGCCTAAGGATGCCAGTCAGTATGTTAAAAGGGAAAAAATTGCAGCCCATGTAAATATTACAACTCGACCAGCAAAACAGAAAGCACTGATATTTTTTCATTTCCATTGTTTTTTCTTAGATACATATGGAAAGCTCTTTCTCCTCAATTCTGTGGGTCAAGAGATGTCCCGCTGCAAGACGTCCATTCGTCGTGGTCAGCCCAATCCTGTCTATAAGGAGACCTTTGTTTTCCAGGTGGCCCTCTTTCAGCTCTCCGATGTCACGTTGATGATTTCCGTTTATAACAGGCGTACTATGAAGCGTAAAGAGATGGTTGGTTGGATTGCTCTGGGCCAGAACAGTAGTGGGGAGGAGGAACAAGACCACTGGGAGGAAATGAAGGAGACCAAAGGCCAGCAGGTCTGCAGATGGCACACATTGCTCGAATCCTAGGTTTGCCAACAGGTGTTTACATGCCTCATCTGCCCAGGTGGCCCTCGTTGCAACTCAGCATACGCTGGCAGGCTTTTTAAAGACAGGCTTTCAAATAAGGATTGGATTCCACTAACCCCTAGGACGTTTTTTTGTGTCTCTTGGGGGCGGGGAGGGCGGGGCGGTAATCTTTGGGTTTCTCAAAGGTTCGATTTGAATTTAAGTATTGTAATTTTTAAAAATCCTACATATACAGTCAACTATATGGTAAATGTTATCGTTGCAAGCAGTGGTGATGAGTTAATTTGTGCTAATGGGTTATTGAATTCTGGTTTAGGCTATGAAGCTTCTCCTGCTCTCTCTGTTTGCTTGAAGAGGAACCTGATTGCGAGGGAGCTGTTAAATGTTACTATTCATACCACTTATGTGTATGAATCAGAATTCTCTTAATATGGTGCAAAAAACTCCAAAATACAGAAATAAGTCAGACACTGAGGCTCAAAGAATGTAACTGTCCTCCACAGTCCCCTATTTCACATTTTTCCTCTTTATCAAAGACTCCTCTCATTTATTTGCCTAACAAATAAATGTTATGAACTTGCACTTATAAAAACAAATTTGTATTAATTAAATATCTCTTTTTATCTCACTCCTATATTGTGGTTTCCTATGAGGTTTAGTTAGATAAATCATCTGGAAGCTAAAAAATACTGTTGAAAGATAACTTGTCTCCTTTTGAATATATAAGGTTTCAAACTTGTAACTTTCAAGATTTTTATGCTCTTTTTCTCACTTAATAAATTCTTACAGAATGAGAAGAAAACCAAAAAACCTACTTAAGTCATGAATTTATTAATTTTTCTGAATCTAGTGTTTTTCCTTTTAGATTATACTTTTTCTATATGCAGTTATATATTGAGACATATATTTTGACTGTACACCTGCATGTAAACCATATTCTTTTTTATGTAATATTTTCATTATTAGAACACAGTAAATTGCAAACAATTGGTCTTTAATAATGTTGATTTGATTGCCTCTTAGAAATGAACGTGTTACAATACCTGTGAATGAAAAATATTTTCAGCCTGTATGGGATGACATTACGTTTTTTTCTGGAACATTTGATGTGCCTATAATTGTCATTTTTCATGGCATTTGCAGCAACATCTATTAGTCACTACTTGCATTCTGGGCACGTGCCTTTCAGAACAGTGATGTATGATTATAAGCATGAAATTTTACTTCTGACTGACTTTTATATACTTGTGTAGTGCATGTTTGCTTATTTTTTTCTTAGATCTGAGCCCTTAATCTCGATTACTGTAAATTGGCAGTAATAAAAAAAAGGGGAGGAAGGAATGTGTGTACGTGTAACACTGTGCCCAATATGTAGCTCTTCTGAGCAATTGCTCAGTCTCTTATTTTTAGCTTCTATGCTTCATTGTTGACTTTTTGCTGTCTGTGGGAAGAGAGATAGCTAGTGATGGATGTATACAGTTAAAAACACATATCTCCTCCTCAGCTCTACATTTTGACAGATTGTAAATGTAGGCTGTAACACTTGAAGAACAGATTTATTCCTTACAGCCTGTAATGGTTATCCTGACAAGGGCACAGGATAACCTTACTACGATTTCAAGTTACAACTTTTGAAAGTGATTTCATGTGGAATAATGAGAATTAGCAAAAAAAAAATTAATATCATAATTTCTTTTTAGTTCGTGAGAGTTTCATATATAAGGCTTCACAGTTATTGAGAATAAGTAATAAAACATGCTCCTTTGGGTTTTTGCCCTATCTTTCTTTGGAAGACCTCAAAGTGCTTTTCCAACATTGTATCCATTAACTGCTGAGTGGTCTTTGCAGTGTGGCTGTGTCATCGAGTAGAACTGAGTGCAATTGATTAAGTAGCTGCACAAAGAATTGGCTTTTCATATCCCTTACTCTCTATGCGCTTGTGTTAAAAGGGAAGTAGAGCAGCCTTGTTATGCTTTCCTTTATGCAGTCACATAAAAGCAGCATTCACTTTAAAATTTACATTTGAAAAAAATCTGCATATATTGTACAGACAGTCCTAGATTTCTTCTCCATCATATTTCCCTGCTTTATATTTTGCTGCATCTTTATCTCAGGGTGCCCAATAATCACCTATACTTCATTTTCTGCTGCCTTGACCCACCCATTTTCTGCTGGTGTACTGAAGAGATCTTTGTGTGTTTGATCTGCTTTCCAATAGTCTGCTTATGATACAATTACAGGAATATGCAGCATTTTAAGGAAAGGGATGCCCGAAAAGCATTTTTTTATTTTTTATAATTTTACTATGTTGGTGCTACTCACCATGTAGGATGTATGTACATCTTGAATATACAGTAACATTTACCCTAAAGCTGATTGTATAAATATAAAATGCTAATGACAAGCTACATTAAAATATGAGGCTGAATTTTTTTACATCGATTTGAAATTTTGGTTTAGTAAGAGCTTTTGATTTTTGTGCACTTAAACTCCCTTATCATCTTGGCAAAGTCTAGACACAATACGTTTAAAATGTTTTTCACTCGGGCTTTTACATCTACATTTGCTTTTCAAAAGAGTTATGAAAGATAATTAGTTGGTTCTGCAGTAAAAAAAAGCTGCTTTTACGTATTTTATCTAGCTCATAATTAATATCTCATAGGGACATTTGAAATTGAGGAAGCACCAGCGTTTACTGCATGAGTAGTTCTCTCCATGATTTTTCCTGAAGAGGTGCTTTTTAAATAATTTTGTTGAGAGTAAATGATACATGAGGTTTATGGAAATTGGCTTTATAGTGTGCCTTCTTTCAGGGCATGAATTTACACTGAATCATAAAGTGCTGGTTTCACCCATCACGGTGGTAGCTCTTGTACTCCCTGCTGCCCCTCTGACTATTGTTGAATTTTTAAATGGGCCATTCACCAGGCAGCTGAACACCTGCTCTCACTTTCTCTCCTTCATTGGCTCCCAGTGGGATGTGCAGTTGCTTTGGACCCTGTTTTTGCTGAAGTCGCATAACTATGAGGGGAGGGCTTGCCTCTCTAACAGGAGAAGTACTTTCAGCACCTTTAGATGTATCATACTCAGCATTTTACCTGAACAAAGTTTGAGGGAAAAAGAGAGTATGCTGCTGCATTGACAGGCACTTCAGGCACTCTTCACTCTGCTTTCAAAGGCAATAACTGATTGACCTCAAATGTTGATATTCTCTGTAGTACTAGGTGCTACAAGGGGGCTTGCACACTGTCTTACAAATCATTGACACCTCTCGGTCAGTAACTGTGCTTTACATCCTGGCTGTACTAGACGGTCTTATGTGAGAATCAAAATTCTTTTCTTTCCAACTGAAACATTATTTAAGTTGAAATTACCATCAGGTTAAGTGAAAGTCCTTCTCTGATAGCTAATGAGTTGATTAAATTGATGGTTCAGTGTGGACGCTGAATTGTGAGTTTCCTCAAATCTTGGCTAGCCTTTTGCAGCAGCGGGCATAGTATGTTAAGATCAGAAGAGTGAGTAAGAAAGGATTATTTGTAGATGACATAGAGCCAGAAAGTGGCATATTCTGTAATGATAAAGAAACAGGTCTAGAAAACACATGTGGTATCATCTCCTCTTACCTTTAAGGAAACGGTGGAAACATTTTATTCTATTTGATCCACAACAAAAGCAAATGGCAAAAGTATTTTTATTGTCTTAAAAAATTATTTATTTGTTCCAAGGGAAAAAGCAAAGCAAACTATAAAAAAAAAAATCATATAGCACGTGCATGGAAGAATTAAAGAATAAATAAGTATGTTGGATACCTTCAGAATCTGCCAGCAAATATTCGAGAAGAGAAAACTAATGATCCAAAAGACTTTTTAGGCCAGCTAGCTATCATTTTTTCACAGCTTGTAGGATTCTGGGAAATATTGAAAGGTAAGGGAAATGAGGCTAGTTTAACACAGCTCAGAGAAGTTGGCACATTCTGTTGTCTTAGCCTGGGTTTCGATGGAACTCTGCTAACTGTGTGGCTTTAAGAAAATTACTTAGCCAGCCTGTGTCCCTATTTCCTCAACTGAAAAATGAAAATAATGCCTATCTCATAAGGTGTTTTAAAAGACATTAAATAGCATGGAGACTGGCATAATGTAAGCATTCAATATCCCCCTCTCATAATCATGCTTAAAAAAAGATTTTTCTTCCTATTGAAAGTAATAGTAACATTAGAGAAAAAAATCTGCATATATCTGACAGATTAGGGAAGTCTATTCTGATAGATTAGAGAAGAGCTAAAAACAATTTTCAGATACTTTAAAAAGGATGGGCTTATGGAGCTAGTCTGAATTTGTAAAGGAAGGCTTCCTGGGGCAACCTAGACAGAGATAAGTCTGATGTATGAAAGAAATTGCATCTTAACAAATTCCTAATTAGATAATAGTAACCAGATCTTTGTCTTTTACCGCCTTAGTTTGGAGGAGATGCAAAGGCTCAATGCTCATGTGCACATCTTAATAAATCACACGCAAGGCCTCTCCTCATCCCCAGCTCTTCTTTAATATTCATACAGGGATGGAGCACCTCGCCCCCAACAAAAGAGTTGGTAAAGAGGGCAATTTGAGTACATATTTCAACTTTGACCTGAAAAACTAAGAAAAATAGTGTGGCAAACACTATGCTAACATTCTCAAAACAGACAACACTTTTTTTTGGCCTATATTATATATCCATCTTATATTCTTATAGGCAAAAATTTTCAATGATCTAATAATGCAACTGTCAAAACTTATCAAACTGTTTGACTAGAACAGTTCTATTCAGGATCAATTATGTATCAATCACTGTTTCTCTTAAAAGATCTTGATGAAATGAATTCTATCAGAGTTGGCACTAACTCCTTTTTGGAAAGTTTTAAGAGTGACTTATTGATATAATAGAAAGAGAGTTCAGTTGTTCTCAAGTATTCAGACCTTGAGTAAAGAGAGTTCCCTGAGAATTTAGAAAAACCTTTGTGAACATTTGACC